AGGGAAAAGCTTTTCGCCATTGAGTATGATGTTAACTGTGGGCTCATTATATATGGCCTTCATCATGTTGAAGTATGCTCTGTCTATATGCACTTTGTTGAGAGTTTTTATTATAAATGGATGTTGAATTTTTTCAATTCTTTTTCTGCATTACTGTGATGATCATTTAATTTTTATTCTTCATTTTGTTAATGTGGTGTGTATCACTTTGATTTGTAGATGTTGAACCATCTTTGCTCTCCTTAAATAAATTCCAGTTGATCATGGTATATAATTCTAATGTATTGTTGAATTTGGTCTGCTAATATTTTGTTGAGGATTTCTGTACCTATGTTTATCAGGGATACTGGCCTGTAATTTTCCTTTTTTTGTTGCATCCTTGTACTGGTTTTGGTTTAAGGGTAATGCTGGCTTTGTAAAATAAATTTAGAAGCATTCCCTTTTCTTCAATTTTTTGGAAGAGTTTGAGAAAGACAGATATTAACTTTTTTTTGAATGTTTGGTAGAATTCACCAGTGGAGCCATCTGGTCCTGGACTTTTGTGTGTTGGGTTTTTTGATTAATTCAATCTTTTTGCTAGTAATTAATCTATTTAGATTTTTCTATTTCTTTATGATTCAGTCTTGGAAGACTGTATGCTATTCATTTCTTCTAGGTTGTCCAGTTTGCTGTATTTAATTGTTCATGGTATTCTCTTATGATCCTTTGTTTTCTTTGGTGTTAGTTGTAACTTCTCTTTTCCTTTCTGATTTTATTTGAGCCCTCTCTCTTTTCTTCTTGGTGAGTCTAGCTAATGGCTTGTTGATTTTATTAATCTTTTTAAGGAACCAGCTCTTAGTTTCATTGATCTTTTCTACTGTCTTTTCAGTGTCTATTTCATTTATTTCTGCTCTCATTTTCATTCTTTTCTTCTTTCTGAGATCATATTGTTTTAGCTGAAGCATGTTCTTAATTGCTTGCGGAAAGATTATTTATTATGGCTGCAATCCATGAGGATCCATGTCAGGTAATTCTAACATCTTTATCACCTCACTGTTGGTGTTTGTTGACTGTCTTTTCTAATTAAGTGGAAGTTTTTCTGGTTCTGGGTATGACAAGTGATTTTTGAATGAACCTTGGACATTTAAGTTATTACATAGAAACACTAAATCTTATTTAAATCTTCTATTTTAGCAGGACTCCTGTGTGAAAGAAGGCACTGTCCCATTACTGGCAAGTGTTAAGGTTTTTGTGGGTTGGCTTCTCTAGCACCCAGTCTGATCTATGAGAAATGTATAAGAGGGTACATAAGCTAAAAGAAAACCCAGGGAACTCACTGCAGTATTGTTCCTTGGTTCCTCAGGTCCCTAAGTCTGTCTGTCTCCTTCTATCTACCTTTTAGACTCTTCTGTTTGTTTTATATATAATGTTGAGGTTTTGGCTGTACTTAATAGGAGGAATAGAGAAAAGTGTATCTACTCCATCTTTCTAGAAGAGGAAGTCTCTACAGTTTTTTTTAAAAAACAATTGACAAAGAATTATGTGATTATCTTATTTTACTTCTTCCTGGATGCCTTATGTAGGGCCACAAAAACTCCTTAATCTCTATTCATACTTTATATAAAAATGTTTCTTAAGAAAGAAAAGTGACACACAGATGGAATTTCCAGGTAGCTCAGATTTTAAAAGTGTATTTACAAAGAACAGAAAGAATGTCATAGCCAAGGATAAATATATGAGTTAAGACAATGTAAGGCCTAAATAGTGCCAGGAAGATAAAAAATGTAAAAAACATGAAGCTCTCAAAATGCTAGGGAAAGCAAGGAGGGGAAAGCCATTTTTTTGAAATTGATGGTATAATTAATGAAGATTAAAATAAAAAAAGGAAAGCATCTTAATTCATTCACTCATTTGTAGGAGTATTTTTAGGCATATAATATGGATTAAAGATTAGTGGTAAAAGATAGAGATCAATAAGATACAGTCCTTGCCCTCAATAATTTTTTTAGTGACACAGAGTGATCAGTCGATCACACTGCCAATCACAATACAATGTGTAAAAGCTATGAACAATTGTGGAAAGTTAATTTACTATGTCTATGGAGGTTAGGCAATGGTTTACAGAGGAGGTGATAGAAAAGGAAGAGAAGGAAATGCTAGGAAGATGGAATAGGATATACAAAGGTTTAAAGAAATGAATATGTACAAAGGGAGTGGTGCAAAATCAAGGTTGGAAAGACAATGCGTAGCTGTCATGCTAAAGAATTTAGACTCAAATCCTATGGGCAACCAGGAACTACAAGAATTAATTTTGATTTTCTCTTCCAGAAAGTGTAAGTTCAGGAACCCAAAGGGAATCAAAACTCAGGATAGACAGGTAATTATACAGAAGCACTTGGGTCTCCTGACTCATATAAAATACCTTCAGAAAATATAAAAGCACTTGAAAATAAATCACTGACCTGGTTATGATCTTTGAGGAACAGTGAAGATTAGGAGAGATGAACATATGTCATTCAATTTGCACCTTCTATCTCTCATTTCCTTTTGTAAACTACAGGTCAGAAATATTTGATTTATATCCTACAAACGTTTTCTAGAATAGATTATAAAAGTTGTGTGTCTGTGTGTGTTTTAAAAAAAACACATTGATCATAAGCATCCAGGATGGGTTCACTGAAAAAAAGTCATATAAACTGGTCTCATATCCATTTCTGACAGTATTACTAGGAGACATGATCTCATATGATATTTATTTTTGAAAATATGGATAGAGTAAAAATAATTGAATAAATGTATTCAAAAAGTGATTTACAGAATGATGACAATAGAAGAAAGCTAGTGCCATACCACTAGGTCTGTTCTTGGCCTGACTCACCACGTTTCTGGATGACAAGAAGGACATGGACATGACAAATGACAGAATCAGAGTAAAAAACAGATACAGGGACTGGTTCCAACAAGATTAAGAGTAATAAATGTCTCATAATTAGATTCCCTCCAAACATAACCATCAAATGGAGGAAACCATGGAATCATCTTAAGCTCCTCTTTCTTCTGCAATCCTGACCAAGTCCATCAATAAGTCCTACTGACTCCTACTTTCAAAATATAACCGGAATTTGATGCCTTCTCACTATCTTTATTGCTACCTTCCTAATTCAAACTGCCACCTTATATTATGGTAATAACCTCCTTATTGGTCTTCCGGCCCCCACTCTTGCCTTCTATAGTTTATTCTCAAAAGAGCAGCCAGAGTCATACTTCCAAAATAAAAATCAAATTATACTATTACTCTATTCAAATTCTTCTAATGTCTCCACATTTCAATAAAAGTATTCCCAGGATGCCTGGGTGGCTCAGTTGGTTAAGTGTCCAACTCTTAATTTTGGCTCAGGTCATGATCTCAGGGTCATGGGATTGAGCCCCACGTCGGGCTCCCTGCTTGGCGGGGAGTCTGCTTGGGATTCTCTCTCTTCCTCTCCCTTTGCTCCTCTCCCTGCTCATGCTCTTTCTCCCCCTCTAAAAATAAATAGATAAATCTTAAAAAAAAAAAAATACTCCCAATAGCTTTTAAGACCTTTTAATGTTCTGGCATTCCACTGATTCACTGGCTTCATTTCTACTAATCTCTCCCTCCTTCACTTTGCTCATGAACCTCCTGGCTGTTCCTCACATGCCAGAATAAATATTGCAGTGATGTCCTGAGAATAGACTGAATTGTTGAATCATTATATTGTACACCTGAAAGTAATATAACACTGTATGTTAATTTCACTTGAATTAAAAAAAGAGAAAAAAACAACAAAAAAATAAAGTTCATGAAATTAGTAGGAAAAAAAAAATCAAATTGATGGCTTGTGGCCCACTGATAAGAAGTTGATGAGAAGGGTACTTTACCACTGTGTTATTTTTTCCAAAATCCCACACTCTCATATAATCATGCGAAAAATATCAGACAAACCTAAACCACAAACACCTCACCAGTACTCCTCAAAACTGTCAAGGACACGAGAAACAGCAAAAGGCTGGTCTCCTGAAACTGAGGAGACATAACTAAATACCATGCAGTAGAGGCTGGAGTGGATCCTGAAAAAAGAGGATGTTAACGGACGAACTAGTGAAATCCAAATAAAGTCTGGAGTTTAGGTTAAGAAAAAATTGAGTCTTCTAACGCATGAACAAAATTTATATCTCCACTTATTGAGAAATTTGCTAATACCTCTAATAAGAGTTTATAATCTTTTCATGTGGTTTTACACATCTATTCTCTTTTATAGCTCTTACTGATGTATAAAGAAGACTTTGAATTCAGTATAGTTAGTATCCAAAAACTTGCCAAATTCCCTTATTAGTTCTAATAATTTAGTTGGATTCCTTTTTATATACAGTTATATCATCTGTTAATAATGAAAGTTTTGTTTTTTGTTTCCTTTCTAATCCCTATATTTGTTGATTTATTTTCTTGTCTTATTGCACTGGGTAGTAATTCTAATAAAAGACTGATAAAAAGTGGTGAGAGCAGAAATCATTACCTTGTTCTTGATTGTAAAAAAATGTCTTCAACATTTTGTCATTAAGTATAATGTGATAGATTTTAAAGAAACATACTTTATTAGAACAAGGAAGTACCCTCTATTTCTATGTTTCTTGCTTTTATGATACTATTCATATGTACTAAATTTTACTTAATGTTTTTCTGTCTGTTGAGATAAATATTTGATTGTTCTCATTTAGTCCAGTAAAGTGGTATTTCTGAATTGGTTTAAGTGTTATTCTGACCTTGCCTCCCACGTATGTACATACATATATTTTGTATAACTAATATTTTGCTTGGAATTACTGTCTGTATACAGCTGAGTGAGTCTGTAATTTTCCTTTCTTTTACTTATTTCGTTTTGGTATTGAGGTTATGGTAGCCTCATTTAAAGAGTTGGGGACATCTTCCCTCTTACACTAGGCTTTGGAAGAGTTGTCTAAAATTGGAGTTATTAGTCCCTTGAGTGCTTAGAAAAACTTACCAGTAATGCCATCTGGGCTAGAGTTTTCTTTGTAGGAGAGAAAAAACATATAAATTTTATAATATATACATACATGATATATACATATATGATATATATGATATATGTATACACAAACACACGCACATATACAGATACATAAATTATCATACAGAAAATTTTATTGTTTTTTCTTTTGGTGTATGGTTCTTTGAAATTTTTTTTTTAAAGATTTTATTTATTTGACAAAGAGAGACACAGTGAGAGAGGGAACACAAGCGGGGGAGTGGGAGAGGGAAAAGCAGGCTTCCCACGGAACAGGGAGCCCGATGTGGGGCTCGATCCCAGGACCCTGGGATCATGACCTGAGCCGAAGGCAGACGCTTAACGACTGAGCCACCCAGGCGCCCCTGGTTCTTTGAATTTTAACACATGTACAGATTCATATAACCACCACCAAAATCAGGACACAGAGCAGTTCCATCACCCCCCAAAACTCCCTAATGCTATCCCTTTAGAGTCACACTCTCCCTAGCTCCAGCCCCCGGCAGCCACTGATTTATCACCTAATGTATACTTTGTCTTTTTGAAAATGTCATATATATGAAATCATAAATATGTAACCTTTTGAGACTGGCTTCTTTCACTCAGCATAATGACTCTGAGATTCATCCAACTTGTTGCTTATATTAATAGTTTGTTCATTTTTACTGCTAAGTAGTAGACCACTATATGGATGTACTATAGTTTCCTTATCCTTTCACCTGTTGAAGGACAATGAGTTATTTCCAGTTTTTGGCAATTATGAACAGAGCTTCTTTGTGTTAGTGTACAAGTTTTTGGGTAAACCTAAGTTTTGATTTTCCTAGGAAAAATACCCAGGAGAGGGACAATTGGGTCATATAGTTTATATTTAATTTTATGATAAACTGCCAAACTGTTTTCCAGAGTGACATATCACTTAAAATGAGCAATGTACAAGAGTTTCAGTTGTTCCATATCTTCACTACCTCTTTATGGGAATATTTTTGACCATCATTTCAATTTCTTTCTTTCTTTTTTTTTTAAGATTTTATTTCTTTATTTGACAGAGAGAGACACAGCGAGAGAGGGAACACAAGCAGGGGGAGTGGGAGAGGGAGAAGCAGGCTTCCCGCGGAGCAGGGAGGCCGATGCGGGGCTCGATCCCAGGACCCTAGGATCATGACCTGAGCCGAAGGCAGACGCTTAACGACTGAGCCACCCAGGTGCCCCCATCATTTCAATTTCTTTAGAGGTTTTAGAACCATTCATGTTTTCCAATTATTCCCCAGCCAGTTTTGGTTAATAATTTCTAATATCTTGTTCATACTTTCAAATTTATGGGAATGCAGTTGTTCACAATACTTTCTTTTACCTTGTCAATGTCTGTAGTATCTTGTTATGTCCTCTTTCATTCTTTTTTTTTTAAAGATTTTATTTACTTATTTGTCAAAGAGACAGAAAGACCACACAAGCAGGGGGAGCCACAGGCAGAGGGAGAAGCAGCAGCAAGAGAGGGAACACAAGCAGGGGGAGTGGCAGAGGGAGAAGCAGACTCCCCGCTGAGCAAGGAGCCCGATGTGGGGCTTGATCCCAGGATCCCGGATCATGACTTAAGCCGAAGGCAGACGCTTAACCGCCTGAGCCACCCAAGCATCCCATCCTCTTTCATTCTTGATTTCTGGCTATTTATATATTCTCTCTTTTTTTCTTGGTCAATCTTGTCAATAGTTTTCAAAGAACAGAGTTTTGCCTATGCTGACCTTTTGTATTGTAGGTTTATTTTCAATCTTACATTTTTTTTTGTTTTTACTTTCAAAATTTTCAGTTTGCTGTTCTTTTTCTAAATTCTTAAAATAGATGGTTAGCCCACTAACTTTTAGCCAGAACCTTTACTAAAATATGTACTTAAGGTTCAAAATTTCCCTCTAAAAACTGCTTTCTATAAATATTCCATATAGTTGAAAAATGTTTTGCGATTACTATGTACATTGCTTATACACCTTAGGCATATTTTCAAATCTACATCCTCTTTGGTTTTGTGTGATTATTCTATCAATGACTAACCGAGGTGTGTTAAATCTTCTATAATGACTAGATTTGTATTTCTCTCCTTGTGGACTGCCTATTTTTCTTTCTATATTTTTGAAGCCTTGTTATTAGGTACAAACACATTTATAATAATATTTTATTAGGGAATTTAATCTTTCATTATTATAAAGTGATCCTATTGTCTATAATAATGCTTTTAAGCCTTAAAGTTGATATTATCTGAAATTAACTTAGTCACATCCACTTTTTAAAGTATTTTCATAGGAAATACTATGTACCTATTGTGTCTATTTTTTCCATGTATTTGTAATTTTCTCTGTTCTTACATCTCAGATCCTCTATGAAGGATATCTTTCCTCATGCCTAAAATATATTCTTTAAAATTTGCTTTAGTAACAAGGGTCTACTGATAACAAATTTTTTATTTTCAAACTTGCCTGAAATCATCACCTTATTTCACCTCCTTTCTTAAGAGATATTTTTGCTAAATACAGAAGTCTGTATTGGCAGGCATCTTTTTATTGTCTGGCTTCCATTGTGGTTACTGAAAATTCAGCTGTCAGTCTAACCGCCATTCTCTCAAACCCAATCTCACTTTTCTGATTTACTTTTAAGAGTTTTCTTTTTGTTTTGGTTGTTCTACAATTTCACAAAAATGTCAGCGGGGGGAGATTTATTTATACTTCTTGAGATTTGTTGGTTTTCTTGAGTCTGTGGTCTGGTGTCCTTCGTCAATTCTGAAAAAAATCTCTGCCATTATCTCTTCAAATATTGCTGCCTCCCTATTCTCTCTTCTCCTAGAATTAAGGCATATATTGAACCTTCTCATTTTCTTCATGTTTCTTATCTTGTTTTTTGTATTTTTCTATCTCTGTCTCTCTGAGTTGTATTTAGTGTAATTTCCCCTATAGTCCAATTTTTAACTCTTTATTCAATTCTGTTTACTTTGTTATTAAAATCCATCCTTTGAATCTGAATTTCTATTATTCTAATTTTTCATTTTTAGAAGTTCCATTTGGTTCTTCTTAAAATCTGTTGGTTATATTTTATTCTCTCAGAGCAGGTAATTTCAAATCTGTTCATTTTTCTTGAAAAATGACAGTCATTTTATAATCTGTGTCTGATAATTCTACTAATTAAAGTCTTTACAGGTGAGTTTCTGCTTCCTTTTGTTTCTGGTAATTGTCACTCATGTTGCTCTCTTCTTGCTAAGTTATTTGGGAGATTTCTATAGCACTAGGATAAAGGTATGTTCCTCCAAAAGATATGGATTTGCTTCTTCTTGGTGTCTCTGAGTATTAGCAGCAATTCTACTTTAAACTCAGTTATGGCTTGAGACTTATCAGGCCATATAGTAATATGAATTTAAATTGTAAATCAATCCAAGACAGCTGGTGGTTACTCCTCGGCAGAGACAGTCCTCCATTTCCCCAATCCCTAGCCAAGGCAATTTTGTTTGCTAACTCCTGAGGATGGTAGGGATGGTAGAGAGTTTGCTTTTAGTTCACTATAGTTCATCACATTGTTAAGATGTAATTCATACTAGGGGAGGATCTGCTATTAAGCTTTTAGGTGGTCCCAGGCTTTGTTTCTTCTCAGAGGCCTGAAAAACCACATCTTACGTTACTCTGGGTAGGCAAATATCCTTAAGGCCAAAGAGTCTTCTATGCTGGGCTCTGCTTACCTATATGGGCTCCTGTCCTCACTTTGATTTTTATCTATTAATGTCTATTATCTAGTTAGCTCTTTTAAAGCTTTCAAGAAGATTTATTTATTTTTAAATCTAGCATCATTAGTTATTTTCAGTGAGACAGTTCAAATAACTTATCCCAACATATTTTCAGAAACAGAACCTCTTCAATGATTTTTCATCTTTCTTTTTCCTATTTCCCTCATTCTCCTATCTCCCCCTTTTCCAGAAAAATCATTACCTTCTTGTTTCCATATTAACACTTTGGATTAACTATACCAGTGGATCAATTCTGGCCCCAGACAGGAAATATATATGAAAATCCTTGCTCCCAAAAGTTCTGAGCTCAGTATTATAGTTTAACAAGTTAATAGCTCTGTTATTAATGAAGTGTGATAATAAATAAGCAATTTAATTTCTCTGGGTTCTACTTTCTAGAAGCCTGTGAATTGTCAGTCCTTACTTCTGTTACCTTCCATGTAATAACAAACCAAATCTTATATACTCTACCTCCTACATTCCTGTTAAATCTCTCCCTTTTATTCTCATTCCAAGGGCCATTTCTTTAGTCCAAAACTCTCATCATTGCCTGCATTTTCATAGCTTCTTTACTGAAGGTGCTACCTGTCTGTACACTCTCTCCCTCCAAAATTCATTTTCCATATTGCTACCAGACTTATTTCTAAAGTATGTATCAATGATGTTCTCACAGCTTCTAAGGTAAAAGTTCAAATTCCTTGACTTAGCACACAGTGCCCTTCATAGTCTTTTCCTTGTTTACTTCTCTGATCTCATTTTCTGTAAACACCACTTGTTCAAGCCTCTATGGCTTCATGTATATTGCTTCTTCTGCTGGAAATATCTTCTTTTACTTCTCCTTTACCTAATCAACCTCTACTGGTCCTTTATAATTTAAGACCCGCACTGTTTCACTCAGAAATTCTTTTAGGACTTTTCTTCCTCTCTCTGATTTGGATTTTCCTGCTTAATGTTTCCACAGAATCCTAAATTTACACCTACATCAAACTGTAATGAATTTGTGACTTATTTATCCTTCTCACTCACTAAACTATAAGCACTTTTAATATAGAGACAGTCTTATTCAAGTTTGCAACTCCATTCCTGCAGAATTTGCTTAATGGACCAATGAACAATGTTATAAAATGAGGGGGGCAGTTACATGATTTTGAAAGTTCTTTGTTAGCTATAAATTTGTCCTATTATAGAAATATTAACTACTGCTGTACTGTGCCTATTATTAGATCCACATTTTATCTAAGCTTCCACATTTTATCTAAGCTTCCACATTTTCGTATCTAGATTCTCTGACCAGCAAACTTGACTCATTTCCCCAGACTGCCTAAACTGAGTTCTGATACCTTATTTAGCCGACTTCCCCAAATCTGAACTCTCGCTGGGGAGCTTTCGTCTTTGACTGACTTTGAATGTGATCACTTGTGCATGCTCCTCTTTGCCTTTGCTGATGCCCCTATTCCTGATCCCCAATCCCTCTAATTCACAATACCTGCTTTCTTCACATTCTTCTGTTTTTACACCACTGTTGTTTAAATCCTGGCAAGACAGGCTAAATAATTTAATTAGTTTTATTAGGAAAAGCAGAGAGGAGGAATTTTCAATCTAGAAGAAAAAACTATAGTCCAATTTCTTCATTTGACAGATGAGGAAGAATTTTAAATATTCAATGTAAGTAAGTAGAGAGACTTTACTAATCCTTCCACTCAACCATGCTTGAGATTAGTAAAAGTAAAAATTTTACTTGAGTGAAAATTCACAGCATTATGAAATATGGGAGAAGGGAGGGAAGGGGAAAGGATGAGGAGGGGGAGGAGGAGGAAGAAGCTTTCAAACAGGGCGCCTGGGTGGCTCAGTTGGTTAAGCGACTGCCTTCGGTTCAGGTCATGGTCCCGGAGTCCTGGGATGGAGTCCCACATCGGGCTCCTGACTCGGCGGGGAGCCTACTTCTCCCTCTGACCCTCTCCCCTCTCATGCTGTTTCTCTCTCTCTCTCTTTCTTAAATAAATAAATAAATAAATAAATAAATAAATAAAATCTTTAAAAAAAAAAGAAGCTTTCAAACACTAAAAATACTCCTATGATTTAACTGTTTGGGGATTTTTGTTGAGTTATGTTATAATTTTACTGTAGCAAAATATAATCTGTAGGTTTCTAAGTAGATTCTTCATTTCTAGAAGTCACAATATAAAATTAAAGGTAGGTTCAGTTATATCAACAGTATATGGAAAGCTTGATTCTGGTTAAAAAAAACACTAAAATTCAATATCTTATATGCATTGCACAAATAATCAGATTGACTATTATTCTGTTTCACAATAAACTTTTTGTTTAAGTGGGACACCTTCTATTGATTAATAGACATGTTTAAAGATCATTTCAAACTTTTCATCAAATTTATCTCTTCACAGTTAATATATATTTTTTAAAGAATCAAGAGACTAGAATATTATGAAAAAATTAAACTTACCATCATCCTCCCAGCAGCTCTTAGCACTGCCTTCTCTTTCACTGCTCCCCGGTAACACTGTCTGGTCTGTTGGCAGGTCATCTTCTGGCACACCACCTTCACAATCTGCTGCATCTGTAATACTTTCTTCTTCCACAATATGGAGTTTGTCTTCATCATCTGAATCTGAATTTGTTTCTACCACAGTATTATAATTTGTAACTGTAATACAAACAAGAAACAAATAATCAAAACCAACTAGTGTAAAAATCAGTTTTTACACCTCAGTAAAAAGAAATTTTAAAAAGGACTTAGTACGAGTCTTCTATAAATAGTAACTCATTACCTTATAGCAACCTTTTGAAATAGACTACCTATCTACCATCTACTACTCATAACCTTGAAACCAGAAATGGAAACCAAGACATAGGAAGATAAGTAACTTGTCCAAGATCATATAGCTAAGAAGTAGGAGGGCCATGATTTGAACCCTAGCAGTTGGTTCTATATTCTGTGCTCTTAAACTACATTAAATATCCTCTCCAGTCATAATGAGTGTATTCTATATGATACTGCTTATGCACAATTAGGGCCTCAAATCTTTAAAGCATTATAATTAAGAAGAGTTCATCTCTCCTAATAAGACAACAAAACCTCATCATATTTACCACAAGAAAGATATTTTCAAGATACAAACTGGGTCCATGCATTTCATATTAATCCCACACTGAATTTAGAAAGAATCTATCAAATCAATTTAGCCAAACTTCTACATAAGTAAGGCATGATTTAAGTAATGTTTGTATGTAAGTCTGTCATTTTGGAAAAAATAACTGACATCCAGAAGTTTTCAAATGGGCATCCTTTCCATATTTTTAATGAATTTCAATAAAATTTAACACCAGCATTATGAAGATAAATAAGTGTTTGGAATGACCTCAGTTTGCAGAATCATGAGTAATAGCTGAAAACAAATAATACATATAGTCAATATTTTTTCTTCAGAGTCCTTGTAATAATCACTCTACTGGGATAAATCATTTAGTACCACATTGGGTATGGTCGCTGGAATACCTCTTCTCAATTATTTGCAAGTTGATCCTTATTTGCTAAGCAAAGATTGAAAGGGAGAAAAAGGAATCTTTGCTTCCTTGAGATAACTAAGCAATAATTACTTTCAGTTATTCTTTTCATTTCTTCCTTAAAATTTCCAACCATTCTCGAAAGAAGGTAATAACCTAAATGTTTATGTGATATGCATATATACCCCCGTCCCATATAAATACACACACACCTGAGAGCAGGAAGAAAGAAATACAATCAGAAGTATGGATGTATATGTCACAGTGAGAATGAATAAGCAAACATCTCCAAAACTGCTTTTATAGACCTTAGGAAGACCCCACTGTTCAAAAGACTACTGGAGTTACCCTTTGGCCCACATTAGAAATCCTTCAATATCTTGTGTCGGAAGAAAAATATCGTTTTGTTGTGTCATTAATACTTTAGTGTGAATACATTTTTCCAAATCTTTTCCCAAGAGCAAACTATTTTTTAATGTTACTATAAAGGTAATACAGGTTTAGTGCAAAAAAATCAGATAATATAAAACATGTAAAATCAGTAAAAGCCCTCCCAGGAAATATCCTTTCCTTGACTCACTCTTTAAAGATAATAATAACAGCAATTTTAATTTATCTATGCACAAGGTAGGCATGATACTAATCATTTTATATACCTTATCCTATTTAATTATAATGCAGACCTCAACTTATATACATATATATCATACTTACTATCATTTCTCTATATAAATGTATTATACATCTTTAAATACACACATATGGGATTACATTATACTGTTTGCCACCTAGTTTTTTGCCACTTAATAACATATCTTAGAAATTTTTCTCTTTCAGTAAATGTGAAGCTTTCTCATTTCCTCTCACTGGCTACACATCATTTCATTGTACTGATAGAATATAACCAATAACCTATACTGATAAAATTTATGTTTCCAAGTATTTTTTAAGGATTAACAACAAACTTTCTTATAAGTATATCTTTGGCCACTCCTTAAATACATATGTCAGGTTTACTAGTAGAGATGGAAGTGCTGAGTCAAAGGGAAAACTTATTGAAAGTAGACAGAAATGGAAACATGGGGAATTCCTTGTACTCCAGCCACACACAATGAGCAGAGTAAATTGTGCCATTTTAAGTGTGGATAAAGGGAATGATTCTCAAAGGTTGTTCCATAGCTCTCACCATGCTTGGACATGTATGCATAGTTGAAATTCCATTTTGTGAAGAGAAGGTTTAGTGATTTCTTCAGTATCTTGACTTGGCCACGGTTTTATATTGGTGCTATTCTTGCCTTTTAATGATGTAATACTGTAGTTCAATTTTATCATTATCAATTTTGTTAGCTATAGGTTGTCTAACCCTACATTTACATTTAGAGTATTTGGGGCTTAAAAAGTACCCTACAGAATTAGTCTTCAAGACATATATGTATTTTGGTTCCAATATTTGCTTGCATGCTTCATAGTTTTCACTAAGTTTCTTCTAAGCTGAGCTGCACTAGGTTCTTTTTACCCAGAGGTCCTTCACCCTGTTTTTTTCTGCCTGGGTCAGCTGTAGCCCAAAGTACTCTTCAAGAATACCTGTCACTTTCTAGGACTCTGGCCTCCAGTATGAGCTGCCATTGTGGTATGGAAGATTTTAAGTCAAATACCCAAAACCACAAAGATTGCATATATTTTATAGTTATCTTGGGAATTTTCCCAAATCATGTTTTGAATATGCGGCAAAAAACCCACCACATTTTATTGGTCAAGATGGAAAAAAGACCAATAACTATTTTCCAAGTCTTCTTACTTTCTTCTGCTTCACAGTTACTTAGCTGAGAGAAAAAGCAGTGAAAATTGCTTATATTGACTAGTGTAACTTAGAAGAAACTCAAGCTTCTGTTTCTTGATCTACTCTTTTGTGGCTCTACAGAGCTAATTTAAAAAATAGAGCCCCAGCACAAAAAGCATAAATAATAATACAGTCCCTGATAAATTCTAGTAGCCATTGAAAATGTCCATTATCTTAACTGTCTGCTCATTTATCTCCATGCCTCTATATTTTTAAACCTTTGGCTAAAAAAAATATAATGAAATTTAGTTTACCTAAAGAGAGATGCATTCTTAACAAACAGGTGATTATCACCTCTTGTTTCTGAGTTTTGATTAAAATAAAGAATTTCAAGAGAACAAAGATAAAGGAAAACAGAAAAGGTAAAGTTTTTAAAATCTTTAAATATAATTTAAAATACACAATATGAATTGAAATTTCTATAGAGAAATGGTAACATTTCAATGCATCTGTTGTCACTAGAATGTGGTTAAGGACACAGTGACTTATTGGTGGTAGTTCTTGTTGGTATTACTTGCTAACATATAATGTCAGATATAACAGTATCCACTGATAAGGTGGTTGTGAGGATCTAATGGTTTAAAAATGTATTATGCTTAGATCAGTGTGTGGCACACAGTAAAGATCATAGAAGTGTCTGCCATTATTACTATTATTTTATCATCACCATCATCATCCCACTGAATATTTAGAACAATTCCTAAGAGGTAGGTATTGTTATATTTCCCTTTTATATACCAAAAAATAACCCCTTCCCCAAAACTGAAACACAACACAACAAAACGAGTAGCTGAGTAACCTGTTTGAGATTATTTAGCTATTAAGTTATGGAGCTGGACTCAAATCCTTACGTGCCTGATTCCACAGCTCATACACTTTAACTACTTATATATAAAGTCTACTGATTGAAAATTATTACATTAATGATAAATATTCTTAAACTTGTATTTTTGTGTTTAGCCTATTCTGGGGCTCTGGAATTCCATATTTAACAATATGCTACTAAAACATTTTCAAATGACTAAAAAATTTTAACCATCAGAATCTCATTATAATATAACTGACAGTACACCATAGGGTAATATCATCATTGCAGTCAATAACCTTTGAAAGACTTTCACATAACATGCTATTTTTAGCACTTGATTGCATGTAGTACGTATCAACTGCACTAATTAAACTCCCATGTAAACATCTGTTTCTTAAGTAATGTACAATTATAATAAAGAATTAAATAAATTAGATGAATTTAGTTAAAAAAAGGAGCAACACAATCTCAACTTCAGTCACTAAGATAAGAGCAAGATCATCTAAATGCTTTAGAAATAAGAACCCTGCCAAGCACTGTTTATTATAGCTCTGAATAGCAGGTTAGGCTTCACAGGGGAAGAGAAGGGGGGAGGGGACATATTTAACCCGCAGGTCTTTGATTCTTATCAGGTGATAACCATGGCATGTGTTGATGAAAGCCACAGGCTAAGGCCACATGTCAACATATTTTCAGGCATAAAAAGGCTTTTTTTTTTTTCCTAGAGGGAGAAGTTCTGCTTATATCATGCCATTAATACATGCTTAGCTATGTCTCACTCATTCCTATCAAACACACACACTCATCTGCATGGTAGAAAAGAAAGATAAAATCTTTCTTAGAAAAAGATGTAAGACTGATCCTTACAAAATAACATACTGTACTTCTAACAAATTGCTCCATATCCATCAGACTAACCCAGTGTCATAATTTAAGAAACACCCAGAAAAACATACATTTTGAGTCGTGTTCTCAAGAGCAATGGATTATAGCTTGATTAAGTAATAACGTTAGCACTATGCTGAGAACAACACAATTTAGGTATGAATGTTATGAAATATGAAGATAATATTTGGAGAAACTGAACAAGTATTTCCATTATTCTTTAACATCAGTTGGGACAAAACCATAACAACACCACTTAACATGTTTTTCTTATCCTGAAAAGAGTCCCTGGCACACTGCCTTCCACATAGTAGGTATAGAATTACTTGTTGAATTGGATGTGGGGTCACACTTCTTTTTTTCTGAGTGAAGAGATGAGTCAATATACTTAAGTTTACTGATGATTCAGGAAAATGACAAAACTGTAGTGATAACCAAAGAACAGGTAAATTAGTACACAAAATGAAAAAGAGAGGTCATCTGACAATCCTAAGGGGAGAAAACTTCTGCAAATGATGTTACTCCGGGAAAGAGGAGCTTATGTGTCCATGAAGACTATACCCAGGCATACTGTAAGTATTTGTTAATCTGGCCTTTGACTTAACTT